TATATATATATATATACACATACATAAGAAACACTACCACCAAATTGAGTCTGTCTTTTCTACAAAATCAGTGTTGAAAGGGAACTGCGGAAGACATGGGATCCTAACTGCTTCTCTTATGTTTGCTCTTCTGTCCAGGTACCATCTTGGATTATCTCAGGCATCTCTGAAGTGCAGGCCCTTCACTGTGGGGAACGCTACTATGTCAGGAAACAATGACACCGGCTTTCATCTATGGAATGCTGTGGAAGTATCGCAACCTGGGTTCAATGTTTTGTAGCCATTACCTAATTTAATGCTATCATCCCCATTTTGTAGATGAGGAAACTGCGGCTCTGTGAATTACCACATATCACAAAGCTGAAAAGAAGCACCGCTGGGATTTCAGCCCAGATTTCCTGCCTCCAAGCTGCTGGCTTTGCCATGAAGGAGGAGAGAGTAGGAAATGAGGAGCAATAGGAAGATCAGGGAGGATGGGCTGACTTCTGCAGTTACTATGCCACAAAAAATCATTTAATCTTCTAGTAACCCCTTGACCTCACCTCCTAGGACCCTGATGTTCCCATTAGCAGCACAGACCTTGGCCTGGATGGCCCCTGAGAGGCATAGACATGTGATGGGCTCTCTCTGTTCTCCCAACTCCTCTGCTGAAACCCTGAGGGAGAAACCAGAGTGGGCGAGGGCCTCACTGAAGCTTAGCTTAAACATATGCTTACCCACCCTGCTGATAGGCAGTGGAGATCAAAGCCCACTGCCCAGCTCTCAGAAGAGGAGGTAAAGGAGCCCTGGAGGCATCTGGGAGGCAGCGCTTTAAGGGAGGAGACTGGCCTCTTGACAGACAAAACAAAGGGAAGATGCCTGGGATGGAACTGGGGTCACTGGGCAATGCCTCTCACTCCATGCGGCCCTTAGAGCTTCCTTCTCATGACCCTTCTGCAAACCCATCTCACATTCACGGTAAACCCAAACACTTATGGGGATGTTCAAATCCTTTTCCATCTGGCTCCATCCTGTCATTCCAGATGGATGCTTCACTGCACCCCGTCACTGCATCCCATTACTGTACCCCATCACTACAACTGTATCACTGTATCCCAGTACTGCACCATCACTACAACCATACTACTGCCCCCCATTACTGCATCCACCACTATACCCTATCACTGCACCATCACTACACCCCATCACTGCACCACCACTACACCCCATCGCTGCACCACCACTACACCCCGTCACTGCACCATCACTACAAACCTGTCACTACAAACACATTATGGTACCTCGTCACTGCACCACACCACTATAACATGATTACTTCAACCACATCACTGCACCCAGGCTTTGTTAATTACATCTTCCTGTCCTGGAATGTT